TTCATTGCTGATGTCATAGCGTGCATTTTTGAAAAATTCGGTCATTCTGGTTAGATGCATTTAAAACGTGTATTAATTCACTCAAACTATTACTAAAATTGATTTTTACATAAATGGTTAGAAAAATGATGTCGTTTAGTAATACATTGTTAAAAATATTTGTTAGATCAGTTCAGTAGATATTTCATGTTTTAACAAAACATATCATTTAAAAGATTTGTTTTGCATATTTCGAACTGAGTGATAATGCATTTTCGATTGATCGTTGCAACTTTTATGGTAATTTTCAGGATCGCGTGTCGGACCACCTTCGACGCCTATGTTAACCCTTGAGCAGAATTTACAACGGCATTTATTACAGTTACAACAGCAGCAACTTGCAGCTTCAGGTACTGCCATCCATTTACTGCCGTCATCACCATTACACGGTACAACTTTAATGACGCAAATGCATGCTGCATTAGCAGCTGTTGGAGTACTGCCACAACCTCCGCAGCCCCTGCCGACTCATACAACTGCTCAACCCACACATCAACGTGTGACACCAGCTGCCGTAACTCAGTCAATGCCATCGTTAAGTGCCGAAACGAGTTCACGTCCATCACGGGTTGAATTCATACAACCTCAGCCATTTCTTTCGCGCGCTGCTGTAGCAACTGCGCGTCAAGCTTTATTACTTGCTTCAACTTCTCATGCTGCTCTTGCTGCTGCAACTGTCACCACTATCCCTGCACCATCTCCATCTGCATTGCAACTCTCTACATCACAGCCGTATTCTCAAGGTTTTTTTTATTACATTTTTTTTACATATTTTTAGAAATATTTAATAGCTTATTTTACTAAAAACAACAAAGTGAAATTCGTATTTTTTCATACCAGTTCAAAGACAACACAAGGAAATTCGTATTGTTAGTCAGTAGAAAAGGTGAGAGATGCCTATCATTAGTGATAATAAATTAAAGAAAAAGATCTTTGAGAAATAAAATGTGCTTTGGTCGACGAATGGATGGACATTCAAATTTGTTTATTTATAATATTAATAGATAAAATATGAAAGGGTGGGAACATATTTCTTGAATGTATATGATTTGTAGAGTAATTAATTAAAATACGAAATAATCATAAGTGTTATTATGAGATTATTCTTTAGTAGTATTAAAGCCTATATTATCGCAAAAATGACACTCATTACGGGCAAACTGTAACTGTTGGTACTGTGCATTTTATTTTAGGATGCGTCCTGACATATCTCCCAGTCCCAGAATATCGTCACTTTCATTTGTTTATGAGATAAAGGGTTGAATTTGCAAGTTTAGTTTTATTCTGTTATATGTAATTCTCAAGTTGAAATATTGGCATTTAAATGGCATACAAAAATAGCGCTTGCATAATGTATTTTATAGCTCTTGGTCGTGTTGTAATGATGCCACCACCTCCATTGCCTCGTGTTCGTCATATCTTAACTCAGGAACGCCGCAGGTAATTGCATTGCATTAATCGATGAGAATTTGTTGTTAATAAGTAATATGTGATTCACACTAACTTTAAGACTGATATGCTAGACAAATTAAAATTTTGTGAACCTTGATCATGAATGATCAAGCATTTCAAAGATTTATCAGTTTGTTGACATCTTAATCCAATTTGCTGGTCAGAAAAGTCATATGCCTTCATTTTTTTTCTATTGTTGTATAGTTTATGATTGTTAGTTTTAGCTCCATATTTGTTGATAAAACTGTCATATTTTTCTTTCCATCATCTCCTTGTTGTCTTTTATATTTTTCTTTCCATCATCTCCTTGTTGTCTTTTATATTTTTCTTCGTATTCTCCAAACGGAGTTGTATTCTGGAATGGTTAACTCATTTGAAATTGTGAAAATATGCGTCGACACATGTATGACGAAAACAAAATACGCCATTTGAAAATTTACACATTGTGATTAACTACAAAATCACTTTGTAGATATGCTCCTTATCAACGTCCCGCGCCCGCTATTCCGATGGCTAGTGTCCCATCAGTTGCTGCTCCTGTTGCTTCTTCTGGTGCTCCAGAATCATCTTCTTTCCAAATGGGAACATTGCCGTCACAACCGTATTATCCTTCTCACTTTATGCATGGTTTGCTTAAACTCTTTTATATTTCAGAGTGATTTTCAGTGGGGTGTATAACTGTTAATTTAGCTACCAAATTGATTTGTTTTATATTCTTGGTATTGCACTATGCACGGTCATTTTCCATACGATAATGCAATAAAATTTTAAATTCAAAAATTTGTTAACCGAATTTGGTTATTTAGAGTAAGCTCTGGATCGGTAATTAAATTGGGAATGTCATTTAACCCCTACGCTTTTGATCGTCGAAGAGAAAGTATTCGCAAGATTCGGCTCATGTCACTACTATATTTAGGTTTAAACTGGTCATTATTTGATAATACTTTCATCATAGCAAAGATAGCATTCCAGTTTAGCTTTTATGAGCTTCCTGAAAGCACACTATTGGAGTTATTTCATCTCTGTAGAAAAAAATACAACTAGTACACTATTCTAGATTTCCCTGCACTCATTTTGTACTCTTGAATATATTGTACTTTTGGACGTTATGAGTTTGCTGATTTAATAATGTGCTGATCCACTTTTTTTCTTCTGCTCGTTTATATCAGTTGTTTTTTTTTTCGCAAAATTTGATACAAAAAATTCTATATGGAAAAGTAGTGGGCGAGAATGGGTGCTATTATTACTCAGGAAGAAGCATAAATTATCCATTACAGGTTGACGTATAAGAAGGATAATGTGCTTTCAATTAAAAAAGTACAAAAAGGGTAGGTAAAATATTTAGAAGCTCACTTTGAAATTTTTATGGGGAAAGTCAAGTCAATATCGTTGCTTAATTTAAAACTGCAAATATATTGTTTTATCAGCTACTTTTATCCATTTGATCGTAACTTATATTTTAAGCTTAACTTTTACAATATTCAGTTTCTACAAGTTTGACAATAAAATTTTTTCTGGAATTTAAATGGATAGCTCATCATTATTGCAGGTACAGTAATACGTCTACAGTCGGGTCAGTTGAAAAGGGTTGAAGAAATGAGCACAGAAGATTTTGTTCTGTCTGCAGCAATGAAAACGGATCTCGTTATCTGCAACAGCAGAATCATCCGAATTCAGGAAATTGAAAAAAATCGTCTGGTTCTCGTTACTTTTGCTGTTGGCGAGCAAAGAATTCTGGTGAGATTTTTTTTTAATTTCTGGCAATGTATTAAAGAATTAGGTTGTCGTGGCATTAGTTTTTACAAGAGCGATTGACAGCGCAATCAGTCAGTAGCGGCAGTTTGAGTTTATTTTAGAGAGGTCAAATACAGTCATTTACGACATGGAAATGCCCCATTGCGGGATGCAGTTTCGCTGAATTTTACTTTCTTAAGATACATAGTTGGCGTTTGTTTCGATATCACGTGGGGACTGATATTTCAGGATTTGGTTCAGGTACTGATTATTAATTAACCCATTTGACGGTGAAAAAGTTATCTGCAAGGAAAATGGTTTTTCCCACCTTCAAATTTCTTAATTACTGCTTTTTAGATTAAATGATAATTTACTTGTCATATTTTCTAAAGATATAGTTTCCCTGAAAATGATTGGCATAATAAAAACAGGTTTGAATTTTATGAAGGTGCATGTTATGACGCTGAACAATACTAAAACGGTTTTTTTTTTCATTATATCTTTAGAAAAAAAATAGATTTTTGAAAAAATGTACTTCTTTAAGTTTGCTGAAGGACTTCAGCTGATTAAAATGATACCTTTTTTCCCGAGATATATTAAATGAATCATTTGTCTATCATTGTTTTGTTATATGCCACCTTTTTTTAACGCCTTAATATGAATTTTCTTCTGCGGCTTTTAGACCGATTAACTGATGCGCTGGGCAGCTAACGGTTACAAATAGTAATTTATATACCACTAAACACCGAGTGCTTAATATTATGATTTTCCTGGGGGACTCAATTTTGAAAGAGGTGTGCGTAACTTCGAAAATGTATCCCAAGAGATATGATTAAAAATTAATTTTGAAAAAAATCTGTAGGATCTTTTGCGCTATAAGTTTTTCTTCTATATGACGTCCTAATTTTGCATTAAAAAACTATATTTCACTGCTGTTTAAAAAACAACTCTTTTCTTCTGACATAACACTTCTGTTGCAGATCATATGAAAGTAAGACATATTCTTTTATCTTCAGGTAACAATAGAGGCAGGAATCGAGCATCCCTACTTTGTGGTTGATCAAGGTTGGGCATCTTGTAGCCCAGAAAGAACGCGTGCCACATATGGATTGATTTGCAGACAGCTAAATGTTAGTTTTTATGTAATGAAAGTATGATAAGAGTGGGACGTAACCGAGAATCGACATGATGACGCATATTAGTAAATGATATGAATCAATATATATTCCCTAATTTCTTAATTCAAAAACTTTTGATATCAACGTAGTCAGTAAACAAGCGCTAATGCTTGTGCTTAAATGTGTTTTAATGGAATTATATAAGATGTCTGTTAATCTGTTTTAAGCAGCAGAAGTTAGTTAACACTTTTTGAGTGGCTAATGTTGTGATTCTTTGCCAATTTATTTTTTCAGTTTTGCAAACATGCTGTTTTTATTCATGTGTATAGAAGGGGTCAGTACAGTTGAATCTGAATTACTCCTTTTGAAAAACAATGGAGACAATCGTTTTGTATCTTAAATAAGCACTTTAAAAACTCATTCAATACAATCAAAACAGTTTTACAGGTTGGTGATGTCTGTATAGCGTTGCGTCATGTTGAAAGTGGTGAAACGAGCGGAATAAGTGGTAGAGGTACGATTCGTCCTCATAGTGCCGCCAGAGGAGGATCAGTTGCAAGTACATCTGGCATACAGCAATTTATGCGACCAACACCATTAATACAAGCACCTCGTCGACATCTAACATCCATTATTCGTGCTGAAAGAAGGTCTGGTGTTCGATCAGCGCCGCCGCATGAAATACCATCCGAGGAGTTAGCACTGCTTGACATACGTCGACGTTTAAGGAGACGTAGGCATAAATCAGTGCTGTGATAGTTTGGTTTGTACAACTTCCTAAATTACAAATAAAATTTGATGTGATTGATTTAAATAAGTCAATAAGTGCATTTATTTATTTTTTCTTAAATCGAATCCTTAAATGACTGAAACGAATTCAGACTTTATTTATCTTAACATAATTTAGTATTTGCTTTGAATTTTGCAAAATCATCTCAAATAAGGCGATGAAAGTTACGAATTTGGAATTCTTGGTCGCCACTTTTTCTTGATCAGAGTAATAGGTTACTGCAAACGTAATTGCACTTTTAGATCGTGAATTCCAAATCGTTATAATTAAGCTTACGTAAATTTTTACCAATCCAAATTGAAATCATATTAGTTTGCACATTTTTCCAATAAGAAATTTGTTTTTTTTTTTGTAGTGTATAAATTTATATAGATAAAGCAGAGGACCGACTATTGGTTACTACGTTCCTCTTCAACATTCTTTATCATTCACAAAATTTTAAGCCATCACTGCACTATTTTCTTCCCATACATTCGCAAGTAGTTCAAAGGCAAAACACGTTGTGATGTTCGAATTTTAAAATTTAATTATTTTGAAATTCAAAATAACATTTTGAATTCAAAATCTCCCGAATATGTTTTTTATCTAAATCTTTTCCTTAATGTGGAAAAGAGGTAGTAATAAGTGACCAACAGGAATATTAAGCAAGAAATGAATATTAAAGATAAAAAACTCCTAACTTTATTACGTAAATAAATATATATATTTCTAAAATATAATTAGATATAGAATTATTTTGCAGTGTGTCCATCGCATTGTTTGACCAAATCAATTGCTGTAGTGCGATATTAAAAATCAAATGGTCACTGATGCTTTTGTTTGTCCAGGAATCTGGAAACACTTGTTGTGGCAAATAATAAAAGAGGGTATTATTTATTTATTTATTATCATTCATTATTATTATTATTATTATTATTATTATTGTTCTATTGCTTTTGCCACTTTATCTTTTCTGCTGTTGTTCAGAAATCGTACATATATTGTGCATAAGATTTTTGTACGGTTACTGAATGGTTGTCGATAATGTTAGTTAATTTGTCATTAAACTTTTCTTTTTATCTCATTTTATTCTTCGATCACTTTTGTTAATTGTCTTATTTTTTTTCTTTTTGTTTAATACAAGTCTTGGTTAGATTAGAAATATCATCAATAGATTAGGACTAGTAGATTATTTTTTTTGTAAAACAATTTTTATCTCCAGATAGGTGTTTTTTTTTTTTAAATCGTACCGTGGCAGCGGTCTAAAAGTTTGCTTCGGAAAAATTTTTAATTACTTGTGTTATAAGAGAAGAATTCTATTCTGAAAGAATAGCATCAAACAGAAATTAATCAGAGAAATATTAGCACTTTTAAATTTTCTGAACAGAAATTAATAGTTATTTATGACAAAATTATTGAACCTAATATAATAATCATGAGATTATTGCATGTAAAAATTTTTGGATGAACAGTAAGATTCCATTCTCTTTGGAAAAAAAATAACTAAACATTCATCCTCACCCATCGTATTGTCCTTGTAGTTTTGGAAACCTACAAGGAAGCAAAACTCGCTTATCTGTTGAATTCACTCTGTCTTTCATAATTGTTTAATGCCCTTTTCGAAAATATCAACTGATATTTAATTTTTAAAAAAAGCTTCTCAGAAGTCCTAGAAAATAATAGCCTTACCATATTCGGTTTTTGAGTAGTTCATTTTATCCGGGTTGGCAATTTGTTCGTCTTCAGGGAATTAAGGATAGCGAGCAATACTCTGTCATTTTACTTTCATGAGCAGACTTAGTGTTTTGTTTCTTTTTTCAAGAATTTTACCATTTATTTAAACTTTTTAAATTTTCATATCGGGTTACTTTTTTTACTCTTTTTCGCTAGGACAAAGATACTAGGAGATGAGCTTGAAGTAGGAGGAGAAATGACTTCAAAAATTTAGTCAAATTTTTGAAACACCAAGTTTCTGAGAGAAAAATTTAGAAAATGTTTATTTCAGAGACGATATTTCCACGGCTACAGTTATTAGGTCTGTTTAGTTGCTGTCTTTTTTATCGACATTTTTGTGTTTTTTAATATAGGTAATTTATAAGTACACATTGATCATCTTGAAAGAGTATATATATTTTAGATTTTTTCAGCGTTCACTTATGAGGAGAGGAGAAGTTCGTAGAATTGATCATTTTAGGTTTGGCAATATTACTGCCGATAGTACAGATGTTGCATAAAATGGTTTGGGGAATAGAGCACTAAAAAATTTGTAAAGTAAATGAATCAGTAATTTCATAAATAGGAAGTTAAATTGGTGCATGAATGACAATTTATTGACTTGTAGTCAATTAAATTTTTATACAAACTTCGAATATTTGGATCAAAATGTGATTAATTTCTCGAACTGCAAGTAGCAAGTATGGTGGAGGAATGCAGAACTTTCTCTGTTAGTGCAGTATATGTTGATTTATTTCTGCCAATGATAGCGGGTGACCTAATGTAAATAGTTGGAATATAGTTTTGGTATGCCTCTTCAGGTGGCATGCTACAGTCAATCTTCAAAGAATTCTGCTATTCTGATACCAATGTAAGTTAAACTTTATTTGTGATTTTCTTTATAGTAGCTACTGTAGTATTCCTATTAGTAGTAGGAATGGTAGTGGTTATAGTAACAATCGATAGTAATACTATCAGTTTATAAAAATAGTAGTAGTTATTGTTGTAGTAGGAGGAAATAACATTTGCCTAATATGGCTACTGTTTTCAGCAGCAGTAGAAAAAGTGGTATTTTTTGAAAAATTTCCTTTTTCCCGATCTTTTACTATAGGTATATATGTATGTATATATTATTGTGTTCATTATTAATTTCCGTATGTATTATTAATTCCCATCTCGAATGTGATTTTCAGGGGTTCCTTTACATTTTTCGATTTTGTATGTGTTTTTTTTTTGTGATTTTTTAAATATAATTTTGATTTTTTTTTTTGTTGAATAAAACCAGGGCTCTAATTGTACTGCTTTTTCAATATGATTTTTCTTCATCGTATTTGAACCAACATATTTTGTACATTCATTATATATACATGCCGTGAATGAATATATATTCATTATAGTAAGATAATTTTATATCGGGTTAACTGATTGATTAACGTTTAGTCAATCAGTTTATTAATCACTGGTTTCATACAGATGCGGGAATAGATTGTGTGTATAGGGAAATAAGAATATGTAATATTTGCCGCCCCTGCCAATACTCTCACTGTTATTACTCTTTGATATTTTCATCTTTTTTCTTCCTTTTTTTTTATTTCATCTTTTCATTGTCTAAAATAAAAATCTTTTTATATTTGCTAAAATATAACTTTTCCACTAATTATTTTTTGCTGTGATAATTTGTCATTTCTATAGATTTCTTTCTTTTATTTTATTTCCCCTTCATTATTTTTTGTTTATGCAGGAGGAGAAATTCATATTTTTATCAGAAATTCCCTTATTAGCTTACTTCCTCCTTTGCTGCATCTTATATCTCTCCTCCTCAATCTATGTATGTATTGAAGTTTCTTCTTCAACGTGGTTTTATCATGTATATCAGGGAAAATTAAATTGCTTAGAGTGGAATTTCCTGATTAAAGAAATCATTATGATTTTTACATTTTTTTTTTCAGATAAAAAAAGATTGATAAATGTCTGTATTTGTAAAATGATGCACACTGGTAAAATACATTATCATACAAAGCTACAAATACAGAATATGAAGTCATATGAGCGTGCTTTTGATTCGTATAACTTTAACGAAATTGCTATTAAGTTAAAAATTAAAATTTGGAAATCCCAATTTTTTTTTTTCATCTGCTAACAGATTATGTTATGGTTATGTTCTTGTAATTGTAATATCTATGGATCATATATGTTGTCGAAAGCTAAAAAGGCATTTTTCTTAAAAAAAATTACCACGATTCTCTGTTTTACCACAATTTCGGTGGCTCTGTGCATGTGTGACTTATTCATATAGGATGTTTTTCATCCTGTTCATCACTTCCTTACTTCTTTCTGTAGGGAAAACTGTTCCAATAAAATCTAAATAGGATTTTTTTTTCTCTGAAGTGGAAAGTAATTTCAATTTTTGGCATAAAAAAAATAAAATATAAAATTACCAAAAGAATTTCACACACAAGATGCTAAATGTCAAAGTTAAAACGGAAAATATTTATGGGCTTATAAAATCAGATCAAACTTGAAATTTATATTTACGAGAAAATTTTGATATCATTACAGTAAAACAGGGACAATATAATTTTTGCATAATTCATTATCGGGAAACCAATCGCATGTTACTTTTCCCGTATTCCAGTATAATTTAGCTGGACAAACTTTGGAAATCCATTTCCCGTGAACACATTGATAAAATTTGTGACAGTCGTTTGGATCTGCCCTGTAACCAATAGAACCACCACTTTCCTGTAACCTTACAATCTTAGGACGGCTTATTTTATAATTACACTTTCCTCATTTAGAGGGATATCGATATTTGACAAAAGATTTTTCAAAAAAAAAGAACCCGAACCTTACAAGTTCCATATCTTACGTCATCAATAGCACTATCTTTCTCACATCTTCTAGTGCTATGAATATAAGCTAGACCGTAAGGACAAAAACGTAATTCGAATTTCCCATTATTACAAATCCAGTAAGCAGTACGATCTTGTTTATTAGTCTTTACAGTATTCCCAATACAGCCTTCTTCTAGCAACATATGACTTGTAGTACGTACGCAATAGCCACGCTAAAATTATATCTGCTAAAATAACGATATCAATTGATATAAAACCAAAAAAAAAGGAAGTTTCATAATAGCTAAAATTTAAAAAAAGTTTAAAAGTTGATGAGATAGAACGAAAGGGAATATTTGCATTTAACAGGAAAAAAATTTAACCATAATTAACGAAGGAAAAGGAATGAATTTTTGAAAGATGTATGGGGAAGGGATGGATAAAGCACCTTTTTATCAAATGATGCATCATGCCAGCAAAATTGTTCTTGAAATCGACCCTGTCTACAGATGAAATAACGCTTACAGTCGATATCATCAGCCACAATATCTCCCTCTTTACATGATGATGATGATGATGATGATAATGATAATGTTGATGAGATTGCTAGAAAATTTTTTATCATAATTTTTATCTTCTTTTTTTTCCTTACAAAATTTTATTTGGAATTATAAAGAAAAAATTTTAATAGATATTAACATTCGATAATAATTTTCAATGTTAAGATTGATTTTTCGGGATTTCTGAAAATCTCAACAAAATGTTTATAAATTATTGGAGTTAATTTTCTGATAAGCTATCTCAAAGAAAGCAGTTAGTTATTTTCATATGAAAAAAATAACATTTTGCGAAGCTCAAAGTACAATTTTTTCAATAGATGCAATGGTATCGGCAGTTAATTTTCATATCATACTAATTCATTAAATTGGCCATCTTAAAGTATGCAAAACTCAGTAGCATAGCATTAACTAAATTCATCGTTAGGATTAATGATAGAAAATAAATTGAAATATTCATTTCTTATCATACCATATGATTATAATGGCATAGAGCGAAACGAGAAAAAAAGAATAAATTTCACAATCAAAAATGGAAAACAAAACAGAACAAAAAAAAAAAAAAAGAAAACTTATACGAACCATCGTTATCATCGTTGCAGTACGTTTCACGACAATATCCATCAGCGAATTGTCGATTATTTTCACAAATTCTTTTATGCCATTTACCATTAATACAAATTTGATAATGACCACAAATTTCATTTTCAATCGTTCTTCCATTATGACAACGTGATAGATCACAATGATATCTGCAAAATATCATACACAGAAAGGATTCATTTTCATAACTATTCCATATTCAATATCTATTTTTTTTTTCAAAGCAGTTAGTTCAATTTTCAAATGTATTTTTAAATGTTTTTCTATTACGTAATAATAATTCACAATCTTCCTAACTCTTTTTCGCACTGTCCACTTTCATCATTAAATTCATAATTATCCTTGCAATATCGATCCTTATATTCATTTGCTACACATTCGAAATATCGATTACAATCATATTCATTACGAATTTTACTACCAAATTTGCAACGCTACAATAATTGCATTTTCATTACTTAATAAGAAATATATATGATTAAAGGGTAGCAAATTATGAATAATTAATTTCATATATATA